CTGAACCAGAGATCCTGAACTTTGTGTTTCCAAGTCTGCCAAACGCTTTTCCAGATCCTTCGCCTTCTCCAACTCTTCTGCAGCTTCCTCAGTCTTCCCTTGGCGTCTCAAGGAAAGGGCCTTCCTTTTTATAGCCAATAATTCCCTCTGAATTTCTCCCTTGTTTCTCATCGACATCCAAGGAATAGTAGCGGGCACACTTTCATTCACAGAATGGCTGTTGGAAGGTTTGGAGGCGAAATTTGTTCCGCTCAGCGAAACAGATTCATCATCAATCCACCCTAAATTCTTCAAAGCTGATAACATTGTAGGATCGTGCATATCTTGGTCAGTTACAACTGGTTCTGCACTATCCACTCCAAGATCAAGGGTCCCAATATCACTATCTTGGGCATGGGCCACGTGTTTCATGTCTAGTGCCATTACAGGTTTCTTTAAAGTATTCTCAAACTCTTCCAACTGCTGCTCAAGAAGCTTTCCTTTTTTCAGTTCCTCATCTGCCTCATCTACCCGTCCTTCCCTTCTCAAAGTAAGTGCTTTCTTTTTCAAGGCTAGTAACTCCTTCTGAATCACGATCTTACTTTTAGGTGCATTGATTTGATTATCAAGAGTCTTCTGTGAAAATCCCGGTTCAGGCATTTGCGAGTCGGAAAGGTCCTGCTCAAGAAGCTTTGCCTTCTTAAGAAGAGCCATTGCTTCAGGAACATTTCCAGCCCGTTTCTGGCTAAGAGCCTCCTTCTTCAAATTAAGGATTTTGGCTTGAACCGCTTCTTGATTGAAAGGAACAGATTCTGATGCATTTTTTTGTTCATGATTATCATCTTCTTCAGACCAACCAAATGATTTCAAGGCATCACCAATCTCTGGATCATTCATATCATCCTCTGTCACCTCTAAATTGCCATCAATTGGGAGATCATCTGTGGCACTAAGAAAGTGTTCAAAGTTTGCACCAACATCAAAATCATTCTCTAGATCATCTTGATTTTCATCGCCCATATTCTTTATTAAAGTATAGAGCTCATCCTCGGAATCTGAAGCCTCCTCACCCAGAAGTTCTTTCTCTTCAAGTTGCTTTTCCAATATCTTAGCCTGCTTCAATTCCTCTTTAGCTTCAGCGAGCTTCCCTTCTCGTTTTAATAATAGAGCCTTCCTCTTGTGAGCAACAACCTGCCTATTATCAACGCCACTTTTTTTCCAATCAATTTCTGATTTCTGAAAAGTCTCTCCCATAAGATTTGAGAGTTCACCTTCCAAGCTAAGCTTGGCAGGCTTTTTGTCTGCTTCACGAAGTTCAGCATCAGACCATCCCAACTGCCTAAGCTCGGCGAATAGATCATCCTTCACCTCTTTATTCCTTAAGGACGCGCCTGTTTTCTCAGTGCCAACTGCTTCATTGTCATGCATACTATCTGTACTAACCCTGCTGCTGATTGAAACTTTTCCAGCCGCTCTTCGGTTTTTCCTTATTGCAATCTCAAGAGCACCAGCTTGCTTCTCTAATTCTTTCCCAAGTTTAAAAGCCTTGAGTGCTTCCTCAGCCTTGCCTTCTGCCTTCAGTGTCCTAAATCTTTTCTTCTCTTCCATTGCTTTCTGGCGTAAATCCTCTGGGCTGGTGGATTCACCATCAATGTGGACATCATTATGCCCTTCAATGGAAATACTCCGATCTTCTCCACCAGAGTTATCTGAAACCATACTCGAACTTGCATGTGAGGCACTACGAAAGACTCCCTGGGAATCCGAAAGCATGTGCGATTCTTTTCTGGAAGGCATCAAATGCTTCCCATTAGTTTCCAAAATCTCACCAAGAAGTTCATCCTCAGTCTTTAGTATCTGTTTTGAATTACCTGTGCCAAAAGCATATGTTAAAGGACTTATCTAATGATCAAAAACATTATCTTTCAAAATTGCTCGAATACCAACGGAATAAAATTCTCTATGTTATGGAAAAACTAACTCATAGATATGGGAAGCTGGTTAGTATTAATGGAATGTGGGTTAAATTTTATATGTATATAAAATAGTGCGTCACATTTATTGGGCAAACATATCAACCTACAATTAAGAGAAGCCAACCCTGCCATCAATCTACAAACCTCAATCCCTTTTATCCAATACTAAAGTGAGGACACAATTGATGGTTAAAAATTTTCCTTCATTTTCACATATATTTGCAATGTACAGAAACTTTTACATTTTAATTATAGTTGAATAGGATTAATAAGGAGGAAGCCATGTGTGTTGTTGAAAAAACTAAGACGGACAGATGTTATCACTGTTATCAAACTGGATAACAATAGCATCAACTAGAAAATTCTGGTTTGGAATGCTAGTTGCTTCGTACTTTCAGCTGTATTTACATCTTTCACTGATTTTTTGATGTCATACTTACAAGAAAAAATGGGTCACTGTCATCATCTTTTATGCAAAAGGTAAATACTATCACTGTAGAAAGACTGTTTCTCGGGATGCAACTTGCATTATGATTGTTGCATAAACAAAATGCATAATCTGTGAGTATGAAAAGCAAACACATTTTAGCGGTATATCATCATTTTATGCGTTGCTCCTAACATAAGATGATGACCATGAGATATCTTAGCGCTCCGAAGAAACACAGTTAAATATATTAGATTGTTTTTTATAGTTGGAAATAGTGCGATTAAATAGGTAATCATGCATAATAGCTTTTATAAAATGCACAAATTGTCAGCATACTAACACTAATGGTAGTTTTCAGCTCTTTCGATATTACATATACTTCTAAAGTGTTACATGCTTGTCCATATTTATTAATTCATGTTGAAGAAACTACTAAAGATAATGTGAGCACAAGTAAATTTAAAGTAAGAAAAAAATTATGTGATGTGGTAAAAACTCCATTGTTGTTAGAATGACAGACCACTTTCACTACATTCAAAGCATCATTTACTAGTTCAAAACTGAACCTTTTTTGGTGCTCTGTAAAAGCTGTTAAAGTTCTTACTTCCTGGTCCATTCTCGCTCTAGCTAGAGTTTAGCTCTCTAATTCACCAAAGTCGATTCCAAGTCATTTATTATGTGTGCAAAAGGTTCTGAGAAACTTGGAGAAGATTGCAAAGTTGAAGCAATGAAGGCCTACTTTCACTCTATGTAAAAGTTAGATAGCCAAAAAAAAAAAAAAAAAACAAAAAGGCTAGTGGAAAATGGCTGTGTGAAGTTGTGAATCTTTAATGAAAAGGCTAAATTATTTTTTAACACAAAGAAAAGACAAAAAGGCACATAAGAAAAATAAAAATAAAATAATTTTTTTAGAAAAATAGATTTAACAACACAGAAGAACAAACAGAAAAACCAAAATGGCAAAGAATCTTATGGTCTGCTCTGAGCAATTAATATAATTTTAAAAATGATGATGATGGCAGAAATGGCTACATGATCTTTTGTTAAAAAAACTACTATCCAATACATCAGAACAACTCTAATATTAATGAAGGTTACATTTTCCAAAGCCGCAGTTATTTTTTTTAGAAAAATAGATTTAACAACACAGAAGAACAAACAAAAAAACCAAAATGGCAAAGAATCTTATGGTCTGCTCTGAGCAATTAATATAATTTTAAAAATGACGATGATGGCTGAAATGTTTACATGATCTTTTGTTAAAAAACTACTATCCAATACATCAGAACTCTAATATTAATGAAGGTTCCATTTTCCAAAGCCACAGTTATGGACTAATGCATCCATGTTTTAGCTTCATTAAAAAAAGAGAAATGAAGAGGAATCTGGAGTAGGTTAGAAGGAAGACATTTTTATATGCAGATGATGCTAATGCATACAAGACCGTCATGAGCATGCACTAATGAGGCTAGAAGTTGTAGGAATGGACACTCAACTAGGGTTGATACTGAGTGAGGCATATAATAGAAAGGAATAAGAAATATTTATAAATCCATTCCAAAAAATTGGGATAAGACTACTGCTACGCTACTACTGATGAGGATGGGAGTGACTTTAGCAAAAACTAAAGTTTTCAAATGAAAAACTATCCAATACACTAGGACCATCTTTTATATTGGCAACGACTCATTGCAATTATCAAAAGCTTGGTTGCACTCTTAAGCTTCATGTTTTTGAATAGAGATGTGCACAGTTGCAGATAAATTAGACATGCATATGTTAACACAGAACTTTTTAACCATAAGTGAAAGATAAAAGAAACTCATTTTATGTCTGACAAAAAGAAGGAAAGAAAGAAAGTGCTACAAACAGACTAAGAAAACATCAACCAGAAAGAGAAAAAAATACTAACGAAAGTTTGCCACTAAAGATAGAGGTCACAAAGCTCTTTCTCCTTCCATACATATTTAATTAAAAAAAAAATATTTAAATTTAGAATTTAGCCCAACAAATAAACTTATAAAAAAGAATCATTCCAGTTTGCTGAGTTAAACAAAGAGAGACAACAGTACCTTTCTATTAAAAAAGGTGAACTGAGAAGAACAACCCTGACAATGAGATGCATCAATCACCCAATTTGCTCCTCGCATTGATGGCTTTGGAGGCAAGCCAATTTTTTCCAACATCGTCCCAATTTACTTGTAAGAACCCAACGTCAAAGTTAATGGGATAAAGGAAAAAGAATTCTTTTTCAAAAATTTGTCAAAAGAGCTATTTTTCCTCTATCTTCTCACGCTTCTCAATAGTCCACTGCACTAAGAATCCAAAAAAATGTTTCTTCCCGAGCACTGCAAAATGAAGTGAGTTCAAGGACAAGTAATTCCTACACACCAATACATTATATCTAAATAAAGCAGCATAAAAATTTGTGCTTCTGATGGTAAATGTTTACAAGTAAAGCAACGAGAATGCCGAACAAAACTGAATAAGTGTTCATCCCTCATAAATTATAATACAAGTCATTGGTTGTGGGCGAAATAATCATTTCAAGATAAGATTGGTCATCTGTTATGATTAATGTTTTCGAGTGTTTCCATCCTTTGATGAGCTGGTCTTTGCCTCAAAACTTTATAGCAAAGAAATGCGACAGCAGATAGAGAAGTAATTGTACTGGTTTAGATGATTGTTTATGAAGCTTCAGAATGGTACCATATAACAGTCAATCTTCAGATGAAATCAAGCTGTGAGAATGAAATGTTCAAATTCAACAACATTCTTCAGGCTCATCTTCTACAACAATCGCCAAAAATCTCCACTAATAGGCTCTATCATAAATTACATAGCATATGCAGTGGTGTGTACACAAACTCATTCTTTACTTGGATAAAGCAATCAATGGAAAGGGAAACACCAAAGATAATTGTATACAAAATCAAAATATGGAACGGGAATGAAATAGCATAATCATATCTGGAAATCAAGATAGACTTCACTAAATGGTTTTAACGCTGATATTTTTAGAAAGTTCAATCAAGATACAGGGTTTTACTCGATGCCCTAAAACAGTCAACCATATCAACAAAACCGACTCAATAATAAAAAAAATTATAGTAAAAAACTCTATTTCTAATTGAAAACTTTTCAAAGGACAATAAAAAATGCAAAGTTGAATGAATGCACGTTCGGAGCAAGGGTTAGCCTTGTGCGTGGAATAAGGCGGCGATTGGGATGCAGCAGCAAAAGCATCGCAGCATCGCAGCGCAAGAGACATGATCACTCTGAAGATGTCCCTTGACGTTCATCAGAAATAGGACTGTCAGGCAACAAGAAAACGACGGAGGAAAAAAAAAGATAAATCACAAGAAGAAGGCGAGGGGATCACCTGGACTCAGGATAGTTGAAGGAAACAGCGTCGAACGTCGTAACTGATTTAATCAGGGAGGGAAGCGGAAGGGCCGATCGCCGATCTGCGATTTGCGATAGGGCTGCAGAGAGTCTTAGGTAATTGCTGACGAAAACGACGACTCCGCGGAGTTAAGAAAGAGTTGCTTTGGCAGGCAAGGTGGGTTTAGCAGAATGTTCAAAGCTCTATGTCGCGAGAAAAATTTGCGTACCTAAGTATTGAAGAGGGGTTATATTAGTGTTATACCCTGTAAGTATAACCCCTAACTCTCTGAATAACCTTTGATAATTTTATGTATGTACATAAAATTTTCTCTTATGTCACGAAGCTAGATGTAGGCTGCTCACCTTGATAAGTGGTATTTGCTCTCTGTCAGGTGTGTGGACTTTCCATGGTCCAATAAGACTCAGTGGAATCAATCAGTGATGAGTACATCACATGATTAGGTGAAGTAAAATGTCACGGACAAAAAGTCTCACATCGGCCAGATATAAGGCCGAAAAGAGTATATAAGTCATAGTCTATTCATCTCTCTGAAGTGCTTTGAAGAGCACTACACCTAGCTAATGTGAGATTTTTTGTCCGTATCATTTAGCTCACTTGATTATTTGTTTTCTTGTGTTTACATATCTAATACCTAAAGTTTAATATTTATTTTATAACACACTGATGTCAATAAACAAAAAGATGTATTTTATTTTTAAAATGATATTTATTTATATATTTTTGATGTGATGTTTAGAATTTGAATGTTAAACATATCTAAATATGAATATTTAAGCGTTAGATATGTACATAAATAAGACTAGCGTGGCATGCATGTAAATGCACCAAAATAATATTTTAGGAAATGAAATTTGTATTTATATATAAAATTTGAATTCTTTATATTGAGACCGGAGGGAAATAGAGTTAAGGATTGTGAATTTGAAATTAGCATTAGCATCATAATTTTATTTACTTGGATTATAAATCTAAAAAACACATGTCCAATTAATTTAAAAATAATAATAATAAATAAACAGTAGATTATTTAAATGGCCAAGATTTATGTGTATTTTTTTTATTAGCCATAAAATCTATTGAACAGAAACTTGATTTTATACGCCACATAAACTATAGAAATTGGTCGAATATCTCCACAATTTATTTCTTAATGAAATATCATGAAACATATGAAGTAAAATTTTTCTATGTTCAAATAAATTTAAAATATTAATGTGATCAAAATTGAAGAAGTTTTAGTATTTTATAGCGTATTAATTTAAAACTATTTTAATGTGGATATAAAAAAAAAAGGTTATTAACCAACAAAAAATATATTGAACGGTAAAATTCTAAACAGTCTAAAGCAATTAATTTAAACGAATGCCGCATTTTTTTATTTTTTTATTGGAAAATTTACACACAGACCACAAAATTCTCATGTATTTGCATATATAAAACCTAGACTTTTACAAAACTTTGGTGTCATTAACCTATGCATGAAAAGATGAATTTTACTTTTAAAAAGAAAGTAGTAGTGCTATTTTTGACATAATGTTAAATCGGAGTACCATGTTTGTAAATGTGAGAGTTTAGATGTTAGATTTATAAATACATAAGAATTAGGTGGTATGTATGCAAATGCCCCTATTTTATGGTATATTTAAATTAATTTCAATTTAAAACGGAATAATAAATTGACAATTAAAAATCATTAAACTGATTAATGCTCTAGAACCTCTCTCTGATACCACTTGTTGAGAAATTAGGGCGAAAAAAATAGGAATCGACACAAATTCAGAAGAACACATGGAGATTTAACGAGGATCGTCAAAGATGCTTACGTCCTCGGGAGCAGAGCGGCGGGTTTTCCACTAATCCAGAAAAAGAGTACATGATAAAGAATAGAATAACCTAGGATTACAAACAGACATATTTATAACCCTAGAAAGAGCAGAAAATGAAACATTGAGTATAATATGTAATTACCAAATTACCCATGTACCTCACCCCCAACCCACATAAGGAAAATCCTCTGATTTGGATAGAATCTTCAGCTCTGCACCGCTCCGCTCCAGCATCTATCCCTTATATGGTATATGAGTCATCTAACAAATCTCCACCTTGGCGAATATTCAGCCCCTTAGGAAATATACATCTGGAGTTTTTTACATACTAAAAGTGGGTTGGGCCAACATGCTTCTCTTACAACTGCAAACATTCAACAAATCCAGACAATACAAGAACTTGTTGATAGTAACTGGCTTGATCAACATATCAGTCGCATTCTCATCAGTATGAACCTTCTGTAACAGTATATCACCAGAAGCAATCAATTCTCTGATCTTGTGATACCTGACATCAATGTGCTTGGTTCTCGCATGGTACACCTGGTCCTTAGCCAGATAAATAGTACTCTGACTGTCAAAATGCAACTGAACGCCACCTAGCTCAACGCTCAGTTCCTTTACTAGCTCAGCAAGCCATAAGGCTTCTTTTGCAGCTTCAGCTACTACCATGTACTCAGCTTCAGTTGTAGATAATGCCACAATATACTGAATTGTTGATTTCCAACATATAGGCCCTCCACCAATAGTAAAAACATACCCAATTGTAGACATTTTGCTATCCAAATCACCTGCATAGTCTGAATCAACGTACCCCACAACTGAAGGATCATTCCGCTGACTACCAAAAATAATTTCATGTCCTACAATACCCTTTAGATACCTAAAAAATCTACTTGACTGCTTCTCAATATCGCCTTCAAGGTTTAGTCATGTATTTACGAACTTGACTAACAACATGAGTCAAATCAGGACGAGTACATGCTGTTGCATACATCAAACAGCCAACTGCACTGGCATATGGAACATTTGCCATTTGTTCGATTTTTGTATCTGTCTTAGGATACTGTTCTGAAGAAAGCTTAAAACGATTTGCCAAAGGAGTGCTTATAGACTTAGCTTTGCTCATCTCAAATATGTCCAGCACTTTCTGAACATAGCCTCGTTGAGATAAACATAATCATCTGGAGTCTCTGTCTCAATGAATTTCCATTCCAAGAATCTTCTTCGTAGGACCCAAGTCTTTCATGCCAAATTTCTGGCTCAATAAAGCTTTCAAACCACAGATATCATTCATATTCTTTGCATCAATCAGTATATCATCAACATACAGTAACAGAAAAATAATAAAACAATTATCAAAACTCTTCACACAAACACAACAATCATATTCACATCTCTTGTAGCGAATCTGAATCATGTAAAATTCAAACCGCTTGTATCATTGCCTTGGAGACTGTTTCAACCCATACAACGATTTCTTTAACCTGCAAACTAGATGCTCCTGTCCAGGTTGAGTGAACCCTTCTTGCTGCTCCATGTAAATATGCTCCTCTAAATCACCATGCAAGAAAGCAGTTTTAACGTCCATCTGCTCCAAATGCAAATTCCAGATAGCTACTAATGTAAGTACTGCCCTGATTGAAGTATGTCTGACCACAGGAGAAAAGATTTCATCATAATATATCCCCTTCTGCTGTGAAAATCTCTTTGCTACCAGTCGAGCCTTGAACTTTTCCCTTTTTTTTTCTGATGTTGGTTTCCTTTTGTAAACCCACTTGCAACCAATAGTCTTCTTTCCCTCATAACCTTCTTGCCCTCATGAAGCTGAACTAGATCTCATGTGCGATTTTTCTGCAAAAACTTCATCTCCTCAACTATTGCACCAATCCAATTCTCTTTCTCCTCGCTAGTGACAGCTCCATGAAAAGTGGTTGGATCATCGCTGTTGATGAGAAGTGCATAAGAAACCAAGTCCTTATAACCCAATATGCTATGAGACCTTATATTAATGCGTCTCTGTCTGTCTCTAGCTAGATTATAATTCTGCATATCATCTGGAATGAAACCACCATGTATTGGATTTGAACCTTCAACTTTCTCAGTTGTTTCTGGATGTTGTTCTAAATTCATCTGCACTGCATCTGAACTGGAACTGTTGTCATGTACCTTGTCTTGATTCTGCTGCAACATGAACTGTTCATCAAAAACTGCATCTCTATTGATCATCATCTTCTTTGCAATCGGATCCCAAAGCTTTTATTCTTTCACACCTTTCTTATAGCCCAGAAAGATGTACTTCTTGGATTTTACATCAAGTTTTGATCTTTCATCTCCAAGTACATGCACATAAGCAAGACAACCAAAAATCCATAAATGATCGAAATTAACTGGATTACATGTCCATACCTCATCTGCGACCTTGCCACCCAACGATGCCCGAGAGTGATCTATTGATGAGATAACATGTCATATTTACAGCCTCTGCCCAGAAAATCTTAGGAAGCTCTGCATTCAGTCTCGAGCATCTTGCCCTTTCAGTTAATGACCTGTTCATCCTTTCTGCCACACCATTCTGCTATGGTGTCTTGTGCACTGAAAAATGCCTCTGAATCTCATACTTCTCACAGAACTTTTGAAATTGCGAATTCGTGTACTCTGTGTCATTATCGGACCTCAAATACTTGATCTTTTTGTCAGTTTAGTTTCCCACCTCAGCTTTTTACAGCTTGAATTTAGAGAGTACTTCATATTTTTGTTTCAAGAAATACACCCAAAATTTCCTAGAGAAATCATCAATAAAGGTAACAAAATACTGAGAACCTCCCAATGACGATTCCCTAGTAGGGCCCCATACATCCAAATGCACATAATTAAGAATCCCTTCAATTTTATGTTTTCCAATCATAAAATTAACTCTAATATGTTTTCCAAGAACACATAACTTATAAAGATTAAGCTTGCAACTTTTAACACCATGCAACAGATTTCTTTCATGCAATTTTGCCATCCTACGTTCACTGAGATGATCAAGACGCATATGACATAGCTTTGTACTATCATCATCTGACTCCATAGAATAAACTCCATCTACAACTGTACTCTCCAACAGTTTGTAGATATTGTCTGCAGTTAACTTTCCTTTCATCATTGTCAATGAAACTTTAACAATTCTGACGGTTTTCCTATCATCATCTGTCTTAGGAATAAAATCATTTACGTGTAGAGTGTCCAAAGAAATCAAATTATTCTTCAGATCTGAAATATGTGTGACATCACATAATGTTCTAATTGTGTCATCATAAATCTTAATTCTGACTTCTCCAATACCAACAATATTGCAGCATC